ACTTCCAGAGTTCTGGTGGTGGCCATTTTTCTTCTCGGTCGATACTCTCTTCTTTCCTCCTCTTCCTCTCTTACAGTGGTTTGCTCCGTTTTCTTCAGCTTCTTTTTGGTGGCTTACATCTCACCAGGAGGATCATTATTTGCTGGTAATCACTGCTGCTGCTGCTGATTGAGTGTTTGTTTGTGAGACGATTTAGGCTGCAGATTGAAGACTACTCGCGCACACATAACTTTTATCTTTCTGATTGAGCGTCATCAACGTCAAAATTTCTCTGAAATGGAGAATGCGTCGTCAAATGGTGGTGGTGGTCGACTCTCCTCGGCAAAGTGGTCGAGGAATTTGAAGTAAGTGGTGCTGCTGCTTTGGTTTTGCATTTTAAAAACTGGTAATTTTGCCCATCTTTTGTTTGTTTTCAACAGCGAGGACTCGCAAACAGAAGCCAATCGATTGCGTCTTCTTGAGCGCCAGCGACAAATTCTGGAAACAAAGCTGCAACGACGACAACTCCAATCAGCCTCTTCCGGCACTGGAGTCACTGCGGCGAGACCGGCGACCAGCGGATCGGGAATTAGGTAAGTTTTCCTTAAAAGAAAGAAAGGGTGATTTTATAGGCTCAAAAGAAAGCAAAACGGACACAATCTAGTTAAGTTGTAAAAGGGTTTATAGGGAAGGATTATTAAATTAACGTGCGTCATCACTAGCAGCAGCAGCAGCTCATCATCATCAATAAATGCCAGGTGATGCTTGCGGCTACCACTTGATTAGTTGTTGTTGTTGTTATTGCTGCTGTATTTATGATTGAGTGAAAGAATCTATTGCACATAATTGGGATGCGTTAGTGTGGAAGAATTTGGAGAAGAGAGATGGACAGGTTAAGGTCAGTTCATTGAGGATGATGAGGAGGATGATTGGCAAACAGCACAGTAGCCAGGTTGCTGATGCTGTCCATCAAATCCTCTATGCTCTGGCACGATCAGTGCAGCTAATAACACACACACATACATACACACAAAAGCAGCTTAATGGCAGCCTCATTAGCGCCCATTGGAATTCCGGTAGCCACCAGCACTGCCAATTGAGAGGTCGAGTTGAGATGCTTCGAATACTTTAAATTCCAATGGGTGCTCAGGGAGAAAGAAAGGGGCACCCCAAATCGGAAAGTTCCCTCAATCGATCGTGGTCGGCGCCGTGGACGTCTTCATTAGCTACTTACCATACTAATAACCTTTTCCCTCTCATCTCCTCTTTACAATAACAACACTGACAGATCTCGTGCTGCCAATGCCTCCCGATCTCAGCCATTCACTGAGTCATTCACCAGCAATGCTAACACATCAAGCCCTAAGGCTGCAAAACAAGACACGGGAAACTACTACCGGGAAATTGGTGGTGGATCTATAATTGGCGACGTTGAGGAGCACTCGCCCGCCTATACGGGAAATACCAACAACACGGGTGGTAGTGGCGGGGGCCAACTTCCTCGGGCTCGCACTTCAGTGCCAGGAAATCGAGCCGGTCGATTTTCTTCAGTTGAAGCGCCCGCCAATTCTCCCGTCTCCTCGGCCAGCGGTGGAAGTCATCACAGCAGCGGCAACAACTCTCAAGCAAAGTCCCCTGCTCGAAGGACGGCTGCAAATGGAAACAGCGGAAATGGAATCACCAGCAACAACACAGCTCGCAACTCCAACTTTTCCTCAAATCAGCCACTTCGAGCAGGCACTGCGCTCAGTCGATCAGAAGCCAATCTGCAGAGTGCACTTTCAGGTTCTTCAGCAAGTCGTCCAGCAAACAAGCCACCAGCAAGTGTGGACCTTCTGGGCCCTAATCCGCTGACGACCATTCTGAGCGACGACGAGCTGCTGCACTTTGTGACGCAGCCGATCAGCGCCGAGGTGACGCTGCAGTGCACCATCATTCGCGACAAGAAGGGCCTCGACCGGTCCTTCTATCCCACCTACTACATGCACTTGCAGGGTAAGCAGTGTTGATAAGAAGCCAAGTGGCTAATGTGTTCGCTTCGCTGATATTGGGAGCTACGCCCCCACACACACACTAAAAAGTAGAGTTTAACTAGGTACTACATTTTCATGTTTATTATCTACCAGGCAGCTAAAAGGACAGCTGCACTGGACAACAACTTTTTTTCCTTTTGCCAGATTAGGTCAAAACTGCTGTGTTGGGTGCAAGTTGTTGTTGCAGTGCTGTGCCATGATTATTAGCTCCTCGGTGCCAGGTGACCACAAAGTGTGCGCAGTCAGTGCAATTTGATTACATTTTAATTATGGAGCCCGTCGCTTTAAAAGGTGGTGGTCGCCGGTTAGGCCGCTGCCGCTGAAGGAGAAAGTGAAGTTTAGACGATAGAGTAAGGAACGCTTTTGAACGCTTGCTAACCTGTGTCTGACTAGCACTGCTGTGTTTGCTTTGCTAAACGACATTTGCAGCCAACTTTGGCCTAGTGGCAATTAGGGGCCCGACAACAGCAGCAGCAGTGGTACTACTTTTTGCAGCAGGGTACCAAAATCTGACACGCAATCTTTCCATAAGTGTAATCTTTAGAGAAGGAGGAGGTGCTGCTGCTGCTTAAAAGGTGACCAGTGTTCACTGCTCATTTTTTAGCCCAGCAGTGTGTCATCAGCAGGCAGACAGCAGTGGTTGTGTGCTTGGTGATAATTGGCGACCTTTACCTCTGTGTAGTCGACAACAGTCTGCTGTCAACAGCAGCAAACTGCAAAAAAAAAGAGAGTGGGAGTTTGCGTGACCACAGCCTTGGCGACAGACACACTTGGTCGTCTGGTCAGAGTTTGTCCTCTCTTTTTCTCCTCTTTGCAAACACCACTGATGATCACTTTTTAATGGGCCGCTTAACTCCAATCTTCTTCTTCCTCTTCTTTTTCTAACTTTTGCCATTTTACTGGCTTTTTACCTTTTACCTTCCTCCCTTCTTTTTCACAGACATCATAATCAATCAACCGGGAGGGGCGGTGTCGGGCGAATCGGCGCTAAAGTCCTCGCTGTCAAACAACAACTTTGGTAGCACTAGTTCTTCAGCTGGAGGAGGTGGTGGTCAGTTGGAGGGCACGGCGACCATATCAATGTCGGAGAGTGTGGACAGTCTGGAGAGTATCAAGTCCAATGATGACGAGGTAGTTGATCACTCCAGAAATGGAGGTCAACAGAGAAATCAGTATCAGCAGCAGCATCAGCAAACTCCTTCGCCAAATAACAAGGGCACCACAAACAATAGCAACAACAGTGCCACTGGTCGAAAGGTTTTCNCTTCGCCAAATAACAAGGGCACCACAAACAACAACAACAACAGTGCCACTGGTCGAAAGGTTTTCGTGCTCAGCGGCCGTCGTCGGAAGAAGAGCAAGACTTACGTCATTGGCAACAACGCCTTTGACATCAGTCGAGACCGTTGTCTGGCGNCAAACAATAGCAACAACAGTGCCACTGGTCGAAAGGTTTTCGTGCTCAGCGGCCGACGTCGGAAGAAGAGCAAGACCTACGTCATTGGCAACAACGCCTTTGACATTAGCCGAGACCGTTGTCTGGCANGCCACTGGTCGAAAGGTTTTCGTGCTCAGCGGCCGTCGTCGGAAGAAGAGCAAGACTTACGTCATTGGCAACAACGCCTTTGACATCAGTCGAGACCGTTGTCTGGCGAAGCTGAAGTCAAACGTTCTCGGGACGCAGTTTACCGCCATCAGGTGAGAACAATGGCAGGTTACAGTAGTGATGAAGGAGAGGTTGAAAAAGAAGTGAGACATCACTTCTTTACTAAACTACTTTCTTGACTAAATATCAGCCGTTGTTATTCTCACCAGGCTTCAGCAGAATGGCGTCCGCCATGAGATTGCCTCAATCAGCTATGAGACCAATGTGCTCGGCTTCAAGGGACCGCGGAAGATGGCCATCCTTCTGCCGAAGATTGATGAGGTATCAGCTTTGTTGTTGTTTTTGTTGAGTTAAATTTGACCATCTGTTTTACCGCAGAAAACCAACGTCATCTGCAATCTGTCGCTGCAGGAGGAGTACCGCCGAAGTTCGCGGGCGATTCTCCTTCTCAAGAACAAGACGCCCATTTGGAATGAAGGTTTGTTTTGTTGAAAGTGATCTAAGGCCACAAAAAAATTTACACAATGTTATCATTCAAATAGAAACGCAATCCTACGTGCTAAACTTTCACGGCCGGGTCACGCAGGCTAGCGTCAAGAACTTTCAGCTGGTGGTGGCGGAGATTCCCGGCTCCTCACAACTCAACAACTTC